ACCTGCCTAACACACAGACTGGTCCCATGGACTCACAAGAAGGGGCGAGCATACACCAGGCCAAGAGAACAACTTGGTTTCTGTTGTTTCACCTTAAGAGCTGTAATTCTTGTATGCGACGACATTGGAAATCACTGTGAGTTCAGACATTTCTGTGCAAATCCTGTGTGCCCTACTTGACCTTCCATGTGGTTGCTGAAGCTATATTCCAGAGCAGCCCTTGAGGTGGAATTCTTGGGGCACGTACCTCAGTGACTGGGGAGGCTGTGACTGGTTTCAGGGCCTGGGCCAGTTGGACCGCAGAGCCCTACATCCCAAGAAAGGGGGCCAAACAGGAGGTCTGTACCTGGAATGTGCTTTAAAGGCCACAGTTAGACACTGACTAATGCCACCCAGATCCAGAAGGCTAGGAAGAACATGGGATCCACAGGTGGGCCCAATTATAACAGACTCATGCCCATCCACGAGAGGGATTCAGCCAGGTCTGTAACACATGTAAAAGCTGCCAGATTACAATGTGACCCAACACTCATTAGGTCATAAATCTCTCTCTCGCTCTGATACCATGAATACTTAAGTATCTAGCCATAGTACAACAGTCATGGGGCCAGACAGTGGGAGTGTGTGCTGAGGGCATTCACCTCGAAGGTGGGAGACCCTACTTCTAGTCCCCCTGCTGCAATGATGCCTTCATTATTTATCCAGAGTCGAACAGATTCAAATGCAGCGATTGAGTAAGGCCTGCATCAGACTATCCTATAGCTCAGGTGCAAGAGCCACCTCCCGAGAGGTAGGAGAAACCTGTTCAGATCTTCTCTTCCCCTCAGCCAGGGAGGGGAGAATTGAATTGGGGTCTCCCATATCCCAGGTGAGTGCTCTAACCACTGGGCTAAAAGTTATAAGATGAGTGATGCCCCCTTGTCTGGTGGCCAGATTTTGAATGGATAAGTAACCTCTGAGCAAGCCTACTGGACTGCCCCCACCCATGATTTAGGTAGCTGAATGCCTATCTTCTCCTGGTTTGTGAATTGCTCTGGGGCTTAGTTGGGAGGTAGGAATACAGAGGCCTAGATTGAGGCAGCTGTGCACATGATCAGAGGCAGAAACTTAGGTGCCTAGGGAAATTTTACTCTGAACACTTGGGTGCTGAGTGAGTTTAGGTGCCTATGGGGGTTCGGTAGGCATTTTGAGCATCACAGTGGAACCAAAATTGACTCATGCACCTAAAACAGGGACTTTAATTGCCTATTTAACTCCTTTTGCGTGTCTGGGCCTAAGTCCTTATACCCTGGCACAGAAATTATTGTAATAGTCAGGAGGGAGGGGCAACAGTTGCCTACTTCACAGATTAGAAGTTCCCGCCATAGGAATAGTACCACCAGTCACATCTAGTGCACATGGTAAGGTGAAAGAGCCTGCTCTTGCAACCCTAATTTTGAACTGAAGTCAATAGTGACTTTGCATGTAAAGGCTAGAGGAAGCACATTAATTAGTATTTGTTTTGGCTGAGGTTGGTTTATGATCCTTTTCTTCTGCTATTTGAGATGTTGCTCTTTATGATATGCACACATACGTCTCTTTCTAGTTACACATGAAATTATTAAACATCAGTACATACACAGGCACTAGCAGGTTGTGCATTGTAAGGAAGATGTACAGGATGTTGTTTTTTTTCAGACTAATATTTGTCAAGCCAACTGTTGACAGAAGGTCAGCAGCACACCCTAACTCTCTTGTTACAAAAACAAAACAAAAAAGCTTCTCTCTCTCTCTCACCACCAAAAGTTGGTCCACTAACAGCTATTACCTCACCCACCTTGTCTCTAACAAAAAACCCTAAAAGTCAGAGCCTGCTGAGATGTCATCCAGTTAGCGGGTCATCTAAGAAACTGTTAAAATATCCCCAACTATAAAAACACTGAATAGCTGGCTAAGGGGTAAAATCCAGTTCTATTATGTGACATTTTCAGGTCCACAAGATCACTCCTTGATAAGCACATTTTCTTTCCCTTGGCATTTCTAGAAGGGTACAATAACACTTTTCTTTGACTGGTGTTTAAGTTCATCCTTTATGAGCTGTTAGGAGGCCTGATTCTCGGACCTGGTCTATTTTCATTGCATGTGCTATGCATATCTCCTTAAAAACTAATCTCATGCCGTAGCCAGGAAGATAAATAATGGGAAAACATCTGTTATTTAAGCCTTGGATTGACCTATAAATCTTAACGACTAATGTGATCCCAGAAGCAGAAATCATCTACAGATTACAAAATTTTTTGCTGTTGTTTTTTTCACTCCTGATAATTTGGGAATTTAATCACCACCACCACCCCCCGCTACCGTCACATGCACACACACACACACACCCTTGTTGGTTATACGGTTAGAAGCTGCTGAGAGGACGACATAGCAACCGTAACAACACAAGAGAATGATGGACCGACAGCCCTTATTAGGGGTTGACAAGTTTCTCAAGAATAATGACAAAGTAGAGGACAGATAACTAACAGTTTGGCTGATTTACACTTGAGAAACTTCACATGGTGGGATGGTTACATGCCCATTTATTTCAACCTCAACTGGGGAGGGGATGTGTTTGATTAGCCCATTTAACCCTGTGCTGGGGAATCTAGCTTTCCTCTTCAATGTGTTTTAATGGGAAGGAGCGTAGAGAGAGACAATGTTATTGTTAAGAGGCTACTCCCTTCTCCTTCTACCCCAAAGACTGCTACAGCAGGGACCCAGCAAACACTGAAAGATCAAATCTGCTACATCCAAAGAGGTAACAAAGCTAGATTTCAAGGCACAAAAGAAAAGAGATTCAGAAACAGAATTTAAACATGATGCATGCATTATGTCTCACCTTCAGACTGAAGAAAGATAAGAGAAAAACTTCTTGTATTTGACTGGGATAGTGGGAAAACTGCAAGTATCCTCTTATAACACAAATAACTTGGTTACAAAGGTGGTTCATTTATTGCTAGTTCAGTGTTCAATGAAAATTGAGCTGTTGTTTGATCCTGCTTTTGTTGGTGAGAGAGACAAGCTTTCGAGCTCACACAGAGCTCTTCTTCACGTCAGTGGTCTGAGTCCAGCTTCTCATGAACAGACATCTGTATCACAAAAAGCCCCAGTCACTTAATTGGCCCTGGCCCTTTAAGGCAGAACCAGCAGGGAGTTGAAGGATAAAATGAAGACTCATAGACCTTAAGGTCAGAAGGGACCATCCTGATCATCTAGTCTGACCTCCTGCACATTGCAGGTCAGAGAACCTCACTCACCCCCTCCTGTAATAGGCCCCTAATGTCTGGCTGAGTTACTGAAGTCCTCCTTTCATGGTGTAAAGACTTCAAATCACAGGGTATATCTACACTACAAAATTATGGTGAATTTATAGAAGTCGATTTTATACAGTAGATTGTGTGTGTCCCCACTTAAGACCATTAAGTCGGCGGAGTGCATCCACAGTACCAAGACTAGCGTCGACTTCAGGAGCGTTGCACTGTGGGTAGCTATCCCACAGTTCCCGCAGTCTCCACAGCCCATTGGGTTCTGGGTTGAGATCCCAATGCCAAATGGGGCAAAAACATTGTCATGGGTGGTTCTGGGTACATGTCATCAGGCCCCCTCCCTCCCTCCCTCAAAGCAACGGCTGACAATAGTTTTGCGCCTTTTTCCGTGCGGGCGCCATATTGCTGTCAGCATCGTCATCCACCCGCCGCTTCTGCTGCCACTCTGCTCTCCTGCAGACGCCATATCACGGCAAGCATGGAACCTGCTCAGATCACCACAGCAGTTATGAGCGTTATCCAGCAGTATATGCAGAACCAGAACCTGCAAAAGCAGGCAAGGAGGTGCCGGCAGCACGGTGACGAGAGTGATGAGGACATGGACACAGACTTCTCTCAAAGTACGGGCCCCAGCAATTTGGACATCATGGTGGTAATGGGGCAGGTTCATGCCGTGGAATGCAGATTCTGGGCCCGGGAAACAAGCACAGACTGGTGGGACCACATAGTGTTGCAGGACTGGGACAATTCCCAGTGGCTGCGAAACTTTCGCATGCGTAAGGGCACTTTCATGGAACTTTGTGACTTGCTTTCCCCTGCTCTGAAGCGCAAGAATACCAAGATGAGAGCAGCCCTTACAGTTCACAAGCGAGTGGTGATAGCCCTGTGGAAGCTTGCAACACCAGACAGCTACTGGTCAGTCGGGAATCAATTTGGGGTGGGCAATTCTACTGTGGGGGTTGCTGTGATCCAAGTAGCCAACGCAATCACTGAACTGCTGCTATCAAGGGCAGTGACTCTGGGAAATGTGCAGGTCATAGTGGATGGCTCTGCTGCAATGGGATTCCCTAACTGTGGTGGGGCCATAGACAGAACCCATATCCCTATCTTGGCACCGGACCACCAAGGCAGCGAGTACATAAACTGAAAGGGTTCCTTTTCAATGGTGCTGCAAGCACTGGTGGATCACAAGGGATGTTTCACCAACATCAACATGGGATGGCCGGGAAAGGTACATGACACTCGCATCTTCAGGAATTCTGGTCTGTTTCAACAGCTACAGCAAAGGACTTTCTTCCTAGACTAGAAAATAACCGTTGGGGGTGTTGAAATGCCTATAGTTATCTTTGGGGACCCAGCCTACCCCTTGCTCCCATGGCTCATGAAACCATACACAGGCAGCCTAGACAGTAGTCAGGAGCTGTTCAACTACAGCCTGAGCAAGTGCAGAATGGTGGTAGAATGTGCATTTGGACATTTAAAAGTGCATAGTCGTTTAGACCTCAGCGAAACCAATATTCCCATTGTTATTACTGCTTGCTGTGCACTCCACAATATCTGTGAGAGTAAGGGGGAGATGTTTATGGCGGGGTGGGAGGTTGAGGCAAATCGCCTGGCCACTGATTACACGCAGCCAGACACCAGGGTGGTTAGAAGAACACAGGAGGGCGCAGTGCGCATCAGAGAAACTTTGAAAACTAGTTTCATGACTGGCCAGGCTACAGTGTGAAAGTTCTGTTTGTTTCTCCTTGATGAAAACCCACCTCCTTGGTTCACTCTACTTCCCTGTAACCGCCCTCCCCTTCCCCCCTTCGATCACTGCTTGCAGAGGCAATAAATTCATTGTTGTTTCAAATGCATGCATTTTTTATTAATTCATCACACAAATAGGGGGATAACTGCCAAGGTAGCCCAGGAGGGATCGGGGCGGAGGGAAGGACAAGGCCACACTGCACTTTAAAACTTATTGAATGCCAACTTTCTGTTGCTTGGGCAGTCCTCTGGGGTGGAGTGGCTGGGTGGCCGGAGGCCCCCGCACCGCGTTCTTGGGTGTCCGGGTGAGGAGGCTATGCAACTTGGGGAGGAGCGCAGTTGGTTACACAGGGGCTGTAGCAGCGGTCTGTGCTCCTGCCTTTCCTGCATCTCAACCATACGCTGGAGCATATACTTTGATCCTACAGTAGCCTCAGCATTGTTTCCTGCCTTCTGTCAACAAGCTGACGCCACCCATCATCTTCAACCCACCACCTGTCCTCGCGTTCATATTGTGCTTTCCTGGACTCTGACGTTGCTTGCCTCCACGCACTCTGCTGGGATCTTTCAGTGTGGGAGGACTGCATGAGCTCAGAGAACATTTCATCGCGAGTGCGTTTTTTTTGCCTTCTAATCTTCGCTAGCCTCTGGGACGGAGATGATAGTGTGAGCGCTGAAACATTTGCAGCTGCAGGAGGGAAAAAAAGGGAGAGTAGTATTTAAAAAAAAACACATTTTAGAGAACAATGGGTAGACTCTTTCATGTTGAACCTTGCTGTTAACATAGCACGTGTGCTTTTGGTACAAGGTCACATTTTGCCTCTTATATTGAGGGTCTGCTGGTTTGGTGTGAGAGATCACACACGCAGGACTGGGCAACAGAATTCGGCTTGCAGGCAGCCATGGTAAGCTACAGTCTTTTGGCTTCTTTAACCTTAATAACGTGTGGGAATGGTTTCAAACAGCAGCGCTCTCCTTTCCCATACCAAGCACCCGTTGGGTTGGCCATTTAAAATGGGTTGGCCATTTAAAAGGAGGGGCTGCGGTTTTCGGGTTAACATGCAGCACAAACCCAACTAACTCCCCCTCCCACTCCCACACACACACCCAATTCTCTGGGATGATCACTTCACCCCTCCCCCCACCATGTGAATAATAGCAGGGAATATTTCTTTTCAGGCACACAGCCCAGCAGGAATGGCCACCTCTGAATGTCCCCTTAATAATATTATCCTATTTCAACCAGGTGACCATGAGGAGTGACCATCCAGGAGAGCTTTATGGAGATGTCCCTGGAGGATTTCCACTCCATCCCCAGACACGTTAACAGACTTTTCCAGTAGCTGTACTGGCCGCAAATGCATCCCAAGTCTTCAGGGCAAATTAATCATTAAACACGCTTGCTTTTAAACCATGTATTATATTTACAAAGGTACACTCACCAGAGGTCCCTTCTCTGCCTGGTGGGTCCAGGAGCCCGCCTTGGGTGGGTTCGGGGGGGTACTGGCTCCAGGTCCAGGGTGAGAAACAGTTCCTGGCTCTCGGGGAAAACAGTTTCTCCGCTTGCTTTCTGTGCGCTATCTTCAACCTCCTTCTCCTCCTCCTCATCTTCCTCGTCCCCAAAATGTGCATCCCTGTTGCATGATAATTGGACTCAAAGCACAGGGATGGGGTAGTGGTGGCTGCACCCCCTAGAATGGCATGCAGCTCATCATAGAAGTGGCATGTCTGGGGCTCTGACCCCGAGCGGCCGTTTGCCTCTCTGTTTTTTTGGTAGGCTTGCCTGAGCTCCTTAAGTTTCATGCGGCACTGCTGCGGGTCCCTGTTATAGCCTCTGTCCTTCAAGCCCTTGGAGATTTTTTTTCAAATGTTTGGGCATTTCGTCTTTTGGAATGGAGTTCTGATAGCACGGATTCGTCTCCCCATACAGCGATCAGATCCCATACCTCCCATTCGCTCCATGCTGGAGCTCTTTGGCAATTCTGGGACTCCATCATGGGCACCTCTGCTGATGAGATTTGCACTCACCTGCAGCTTGCCACACTGGCCAAACAGGAAGTGAGATTCAAAAGTTCGCGGGCCTTTTTCTGTCTACCTGGCCAGTGCATCTGAGTTGAGAGTGCTGTCCAGAGCGGTCACAATGGAGCACTCTGGGATAGCTCCCGGAGGCCAATACCATCGAATTGCGACCACACTACCCTAAATTCGACCCAGCAAGGTTGATTTCAGTCCTAATCCCCTCATCGGGAGAGGAGTACAGAAATTGATTTTAAGAGCCCTTTAAGTTGAAAAAAATGGCTTCGTCGTGTGGATGGGTGCAGGGTTAAACCAATCTAAAGCTGCTAAATACGACCTAAACTCGTAGTGTAGACCAGGGCACAGAGAATTTACCATTTACACTAGTTTAAACCTGCAATTGACCCTTGCCCCATGCTGTGGAGGAAGGTGAACTCACCCTCCCACCCCTCCGCCCCCCAAGGTCTCTGTCAATCTGTGCTGTGTGGAAATACCTTCCCAACCCAAAATATGGCGATCACTTAGACCCTGAGCATGTGAGCAAGACCCACAAGGCAGATACCTGGGAAATAATTCTCTGTAGTAATGCAGAGTCATTCCCATGTATTGTGCTGTCTCTGTCCATTGGGGATTTTTGCTACTGGTAGTCACATGCCATTGTTGGCAGCCCCATCATACCATCCCCTCCATAAACTTATCAAGCCCAGTCTCGAAGCCAGTTAGGTTTTTACCCACACTGCTCCCCTTGGAAGGCTGTTCCAGAACTTCACTCTTCTAATGAAAGAAAAGGAGTACTTGTGGCACCTTAGAGACTAACCAATTTATTTGAGCATGAGCTTTCGTGAGCTACAGCTCACTTCATCGGATGCATACTGTGGAAACTGCAGAAGACATTATATACACAGAGACCATGAAACAATACCTCCTCCCACCCCACTGTCCTGCTGGTAATAGCTTATCTAAAGTGATCATCAAGTTGGGCCATTTCCAGCAGGAGAGTCCAAGCTGGACTTTTCTAAGCTGGATTTGTGCTGGAAATGGCCCACCTTGATTATCATACACATTTTAAAGAGAGTGGTCACTTTGGATGGGCTATTACCAGCAGGAGAGTGAGTCTGTGTGTGTATGGGGGGGGGGGCGCGGAGGGTGAGAAAACCTGGATTTGTGCTGGAAATGGCCCAACTTGATGATCACTTTAGATAAGCTATTACCAGCAGGAGAGTGGGGTGGGAGGAGGTATTGTTTCATGGTCTCTGTGTATATAATGTCTTCTGCAGTTTCCACAGTATGCATCCGATGAAGTGAGCTGTAGCTCACGAAAGCTCATGCTCAAATAAATTGGTTAGTCTCTAAGGTGCCACAAGTACTCCTTTTCTTTTTGCGAATACAGACTAACACGGCTGTTACTCTGAAACTCTTCTGATGGTTAGAAACCTTCATCTGATTTCGAGCCTAAACTTGTTGATGGACAGTTTATAGCCATTTGCTCTTGTGTCCACTCTGGCACTTAAAATAACTCCTCACCCTCCCTGCTATTTATTCCTCTGATGTATTTATAGAGAGCAATTGTACAGAAATTACCTGCAGAAGGATATTAAAACATGCAGAGTAGATTGTGAACTGATCAGTGATCAAAAGGATGAATGGGTATGATTGACATCTGGAGCAAAACCAGTGCTGTGCTCTTTCAATTACAAGTATAAGAGTGCCACCACTGACAGATTAAAAGTGCTCACTCTTAATCCAAAATTATACTTCCCCCAGTCAAACTATTCACTGTGTCAGCTTCAATTTGTTCAAATGTGTCACCCACGGCAACTGATTGGACTGATTCACTAGCACAGTCTCTGAAAACGTCCCTGTTTGTGTTCACTCCTTACTCTTGCTATTTGTCTTGTCAGCCAGATTACTCTGGAGGCATTTCCATGCTCTTCCATGTAGCTGCACCTCAGAAATGTAGCTGACTGGAAAAGAACAAAACAGCAGGAGCAGGGTAAATATTCTGATAAACTCTACTTATGAGAAAGCACAAGAATATGAAGTGGGAATTAAAATAACCTCAAAATAAAAATAGGACACACACTTCCACAGGGGACACTGTGGCCAGAATCCATGCCATGACTCAGAATGGATGAATCCATCCAAATAAGAGTCATCCCAAACCATCCCCCCAAACTCAAACTGAAGTAGTCTCTCTTTGAGATTGGAAATACTTCGTTTAATTGTTAAGACCATTTTTGTATGACACTGCCCTTTTAGGTTTTGATCAGAAGCTGCAGTGGCAAAATGCTCTGAGAACAGCTATTCTTGTGATGTTTCTGACTTTAGAAGCTACCTTATTAAAATATCTCCTAAGGAAGCCAGGTCTCATCCTAGTGTTGGTGCTGGTTGGATGAGAAAAAGAAAAAGGGGGTTGAACTGAGGTGAATTTCTGTGTACCAAAACCAGCTCTGCTGAAACCTACAGATGATGGGATCTGTGTGAAACTGGTGGAGAGACACCAATTAACATCAGCTGAGGATCTGGACAGATGAAAGAGAACATTCAGCCCTCACAGTTTTCAACCCTAGACAAGAGTCATCAGGCTTCCTGATGAACTTTATTCAAAGTAGCCTGCAGTCCTTTGGAGTAGGTTCCTGAAGGGACTTTTATGATGTTAGAGAACCACAAATGGAGTACCCAGAAATAAACCTCCTAGTAGAAAAGTACAGCCACTACTGAGACAAGAAGAAAGCAACATGTTTTCATTGGAGAGTCGTGACTGCAGTGTGTAGCCTAATGGGCTCATATGCCAAATGGGCTTAGCACTGCAGTTTTGTTCAGGTCTAGGAAACATGATTCATCTTCTCTCATCCCTCTTGAGCTTGGAGCAGAGAAATAAACACCTCTAAAATCTGCAAATAAGAACTGCATTGTAATGTGACTGGCACTAAAATCCGAGTTTGACCCTCACCAAAACTTAACTTGAATCTCTTTTAAAACATAATTGTCCTCTTGGATAGAGATTTCTTTTGTCTTTCTGCTAATGCATTTCTTCTTCTTTTTTATTGTTTTGGCATTTAATGTTATCCACAGACCTAAAAATGGAATACTTTTAGTCAGGTTACAAGAACATAAAAATATCTTTCTTCCCACAGTTTCTAGTGCAGTCGTTAGTGTTGTATCCAGGCATTGCAATACAGAGCATTTAAAAGCAATATTACAGCCAGAACAAACATTAACTGCCTATCCACCAAAAGTGCTTGGGCCTCATCAAACATCCATTGAAGTCAGTGGGAATGGCTTCCATCTGAACTTTGGCACATACATGGTCCCTAGTCACAACTGTCTCTTTTGGTTGTGTGAATACTTGTAGTTCATTTTTAATGTCTTTGTAGATAACTTTAACAACCCAATATAAATACTATGTATCCAAAGTTTTTCATTTATACAGTAACAAGAGGGTTTTTTTTAAACTAATGATTGCCCAACATCTCATTGGCATTGCACGTGTACACTCTCTTCATGTTCAAATTGCCCAGTGCATAGAATCATAGGACTGGAAGGGACCTCGAGAGGTCATCTAGTCCAGTCCCCTGCACTCATGGCGGGACTAAGTATTATCTAGACAACCCTGACAGGTGTTTGCCTAACCTGCACTTAAAAATCTCCAATGATGGAGATTCCACAACTTCCTTAGGCAATTTATTCCAGTGCTTAACCACCCTGACAGTTAGGAAGTTTTTTCTAATGTCCAACCTAAACCTCCCTTGCTGCAATTTAGTCCATCATTTCTTGTCCTATCCTCAGCAGTTAAGAACAACACTTTTTCTCCTTCCTCCTTGTAACAACCTTTTATGTACTTGAAAACTGTTATCATGTCCCCTCTCAGTCTTCTCTTTTCCAGACTAAACAAACCCAATCTTTCAATCTTCCCTCATAGGTCATGTTTTCTAGACCTGTAATCATTTTTATTGCTCTTCTCTGGACCTTCTCCAGTTTGTCCACATCTTTCCTGAAATGTGGTGCCCAGAACTGGACACAATACTCCAGTTGAGGCCTAATCAGTGCAGAGTAGAGTGGAAGAATTACTTCTCGTGTCTTGCTTACAATACTCCTGCTAATACATCCCAGAATGATGTTCACTTTTTTTTCTACAGTGTTACACTGTTGACTTATATTTAGCTTGTGGTCCACTATGACTCCCAGATCCCTTTCTGCACTTCTCCTTCCTAGGCAGTCATTTCCCATTTTGTATGTGGGAATTTGATTGTTCCTTTCTAAGTTTCTTGCATTCGTGCTTATTGAATGTCATCCTATTTACTTCAGACCATTTCTCCAGTTTGTCCAGATAATTTTGAATTATAATCCTATCCTCCAAAGCACTTGCAACCCCTCCCAGATTGCTATCATCTGCAAACTCTATAAGTGCACTCTCTATGCCATTATCTAAATCATTGATGAAGATATTGAACAGAACCAGATCCAGAACTGATCCCTGCAAGACCCCAACCGTTATGCCCTTCGAGCATAACTGTGAACCACTGGTAACTACTTTCTGGGATGTTTTTGCATAAGAAAGTTGAGTGGAATTTCACTCTTGAGGTTTAGATGCAAGTGCAATATGATCTGTATAGAATTAGGCAAGACTCCTTTGGAACCAGTGCTCATTCTGTATACAGTTTGAAGTTGCATATTTCCTGATCCCTGATGGACCCATCACTCCAGTGAGGAATCCTAATAATGCACTGATGGAACAGTACATGCAGTATGATATACTGTTGTTTGCATTCAATGAAGAGGGTGCTCCTTACGAACCCTGCCTATCCATCCCCAGTCCAGGGATAGCATATAAGGCTGCTGCATCGTCCTCCTTCTTGCCCCCACCTCCCATAGTCTCCACTCCAGCTGCTGGGCTGGAATAGTGGCCACAACCTCTATATACCAGTTTTGCAACAGACCCACATAAAACATGGAGCTGCAGATGGGCAAAGGACAAAATTAAATGTAGAATTTTCAGACTTCTGAGTGCTTCTCAATGCAAACTTAACATTATTTTAATGGCATTTAAAAATGGAATTATTCATAATTGTACAGATATATAAATATGAAAATAATTAATATTAACCAGCATGTGAAATGGTCACCAATGAAGAAAAATGCGGGGGATTAAATATATACCATATACAGGGAATGCATTGCATTAACAAAATACAAACATGCTTTACTGGTTTTGTCTTTAGGAAAGAGAATGAGTGGGACAAATCCAACAAAATATATACATCCCTGGGGAAACTCACTGAAGTTACACAAGGGATGAATTTGGCTGATTCTTCTGTTAGCAGCTGCATGAAGCTCATATTAAGGATTAATTTTTAA